ACTTTTTTGAATGACAACATCTAATTTTAATTTGATATTCAAAAACAGAATATTTTTCTGATTATTTCGATACATAAAAATTGAATTTAGGGCAATTATTTTATGAGTTATAACTTTATAAGTATTTAAAGTTTAGATGAGCGGAGTAGAGTGGTACGGGGTTACCCCGCGAAATGTTTGTCCTCTACTCCGCTCATCTAAACTTTAAATACTTATAACTCATAAACTACTTGCCCTAAATTCAATTTTTATGTATTAAAATAATCAGAAAAATATTCTGTTTTTGAATATCAAATTAAAATTAGATGTTGTCATTCAAAAAAGTAAAAAACTTAAAAAATTAAAAGGATAAAAAATATTTAAAAATATAATTTTTTAATAAAAATATTGTTTTTTAACAACTTGAAACTATGTAAAAAAATATTTTCTTAAACATTAATACTTTTTGAAATAATGAGTGTTCTTCGATAAAAAAATCACCCTGTATATAAAAATGAATGTATTTGTGTGTGTGTGTGTGTGTCCATATTACCATGGCAACCATATATTATATATTATTTTGAAATTTCCAATGGGTTTTGAACACGATTAAAGATATAACGATTTATATATTTAATCGTGGTTTTGAAGCTATTATAATAATTATTATTGGTTCCCGGGCAACGAGGTGCATGGGATCATTATTGGTTACCGGGCAACGAATTCCAAGGGATCATTTGATACAGAGATAAGTTAGACTTCTGGGCAGAAGATAGGCTAATTTAAAATGGGAGAGGATTGGTATAAAACTGTTGTTATGGTAACCGTTATATTTAAAAAAAAAACATATTATTCATATAGAATTGGCATTTTTGATGAGCAACGAAGTGCACGGGATCAGCTAGTCCTTCTATAAAATGAAATATACACCTACTTTATTATATAAAAAACCACCCGATAGTCGATAGACAAAACTTAATAATCATTATGTGAACCCCGCAAACAACAAGATAAAAGAGAGGGATAAAAAAATTAAGCATCAAATTTATAAATGTAACAAATCTCTTCTGTTGACAGTCAGCGTGATGAAATCTTATAAAAATTGACAAATGGAAAAAATAGAATTCTGAACACAACAATTACCTATAGAAGGTTTTAAAATATTATAAACTTTATTCTATCCCAAAAGTCTTCCTCTCACAAAAATTGTATATATTATATGCCATTCTTATTTACCTTTCCACACTTCAAACACCAAAAATATGTACAACTAATAAGGTAAGTATCATTTACCTATAAGCCGATATTGTGACCACCCCTCCCTGCCCATAATTAATTAATTTCTAAAATGTTAAAAATTAACGAAAAAATATTTTGGAACATCTCATATATATTCAAACTTGTTAAACCATATATTATGATACACGAATAGGTACTGTATACTGTATACTATGTTAGGATAACAGATGACAAAACTGTGGATTTTTTTTCCTTTTTTTTTTAAATTTTTGTAATATAAATTATAACTGTATACATTTCATTGCATAGTCTTAATTTAAAATATGAGGACATATTTTTGTTATAACATAAGGGAGTGTTGTATGTGCCAATATTACTTTCTGCTTAAATAATTTAATGTTTCATAGGTACTCATAATAATAGGCCAATAAAGCAAATGAGCTGAGGCAGCACTTTGTAAAATAATATTTAAGAACGTATGCACCACAGTAGATGGTCCTTGAGCGAGGCCCGCATGTTTGTAAGCGATCCATCGAGATTCGTATTTTGTGTGTTTGTTTATGTTTAATAAATTATAAAGTTATTTAATAGTGTGAATATTATCATCGATTATTTAGTGTACTCATATGCTCATTGCTGACATTTTATCTAGAGAATTTTGTCAAGAAAGTCACCCTAATGAATTTGAAACAACTGGCTAGGTCCATTGTTTAAATAGGTTTGACAAATCCCTAGAAACGGGAATTGATATTGAATCAATGCTCTTAAAGTAAAGACGTACAGACGTACAGTGTACACCCATAGTCGGCTTACAAGCTTCTCAGTAAAAATTACTCTACAGTAGGCTGTTGAGAACAAAAATTCTATTAGCTCTGTCTATATTGAAACCTAAACTTCAAAACCAGGTAGAATATAAATCGAAACAATGACAAAATAAGTACAAAGAAAATCATGACAAGACAGTAGCAACTAAAGAACCTGAATTCAAACCAGGGTTCAATGTGATAGACCAAAAAAATAAAACGTGGTTCCCAGGTAAAATAATTACAAAAGCTTCAACTCCAAGATCCTATATCGTTAGAAATAAAAAGGGAAATATAATCAGGAGAAATATTAGGCATCTAAAAAATATTAACCATGTTCCAGGAAACCTAAAGACATAGGTACCTATCCTAGTAACCACAACGAAGAAGCCCTAGTCGTTGTAAAAGATAGTTTAATAGTTAAATCTAAAAAGTCTAAAAGAAATCTAAAGAAGCCATCAGCACTTAATGGTTTTATTATGCATTAAGTATTTATAAGAGTATTAATTATTTTGTATTTTATCATTATGTACTTACCTAATGTTCACCTTGTATTTTATTTTATTATTTTGTTTATACTAATATACTATGTGTTATTATGTTAAAGAGAGAGAGAGATGTTGTAATGTTGTTAACATTGTAAATTGTAATGTCATACTTCTTGTGGTTATATGTTATAGGTTATGTGTTTTGTCCACACATTATTATGTTACCTACTTTTCATATTATATCCATATCCATCATTAATCATTATAGGTACACATTTTGTTATGTCATGTTCTTATATATTAATTATAATAAACACACACGTTATAACTAGGTACGTCTAAAACAGTATAGGTAGTAGGTACTAGGTAGGTACATATGAGCAAATACATTCGATTTAATTTAATTATTTAGTTTATTATATTTAAAAATTATTATTAAACCATTTACATAGGTACCTCATTTAATTTATAATAATCAACTAATAAAATATTATGATCTATGCAATTTATTATTTAACAAACTTGGTCAGCACAGCCACCCACTTTTAATTTTATAACTTAAAAGCTTATATCCCATCCCAGAACTAATTCCTAATCACGCCATTGCAACCTTTAAATTAATAGGAAAATAATTAGGTCAAAAAGTATAAGTCAGTTATAAATAACTCTATTTTGTTTAATTTTAACTAATGTTCGTATTTTTATACATTATTAATTTTTGAGTTATACAAAAACAAAACAAAATTGATTTTGTTCTCATACTATATACATAAGTCAAAAACGAATAACCGTAGATACTTGTAATTATCACCAATTGCTTATATTAACTTTTTATATAAGTAAGTACACCATACAATTTAAATAATATTTGACTATTTTTGAGCTATTTATAGGCAGTGCCAGGAGTGTTTCACCTTTAAAACATTTTAACTAACTTAATTTATTTTGCATATTTTCTATAACACTTATGACTGAATGAATCAGATAGCAAAATTCCTTGTTTTTCCAAAAATGTTATCCAAAGTTGGATTTTATATGTTAAATTACATGCTAGAATGTTATTTTCTAAATATTTTTTAGCAGTGCGAATTGATGCAGCGTCATCTTCATTAAATGTCTGTACAACACTACAACTGATCAAATTTTTGCAGTGTTCACAATAATATAATATAGCGTTAATCTAAGTACCTACTTCATCTCGTTAATATGGGCTCTGGTGGTACTGGTATTTTATCATATTTTTAAATGATAGTATACATAATACATAAAGGTGCTTTTTGAAATACCTGTTGGCTGTTTCACAGAAGATACTACTTTATATACATCCGAAAATTCGCCTCGTTGCTTTTTAGCTAGTCAATGCAGATCATGTGCAGATCAAGCCGGTTACATGAATAACTTTAAAGTAAATGGTTTTTATTGAAATCCCGGTCTTGATCAAACACGGGGCTGCTCCACTTAAAAACAATTAGCCATTGTCATGTTGAACCCCACTATGTCATAAAATCCCCATAGCTTTGTCGAATAATTTAAATATCGTTGAGTGGTTTGTTTTCTCTAATTCTTCAGAATGCAACAAAAATATTTCACTTTCCCTATTAACTTCTTACGTCCCTATTACATTTGCTACAAAACATCCAGTAGTGTCTGTAGTTTCATCGATTGAAATCCATATATATATATATATATATATCTTTATGTCTTATTTAAACCAATATCAAAGGTGATACAACGACGGGGGTCAGCTAAAAATCAAACTTAAACAATATTCGAGGTTTTTCAAATTATAACATTCAGTAAAATAACAAATGCTCTACTCTTTATCTCTAACTTAACCCATCACAATGAAATCAATTGAGAATGAAACAGTTATTGTTTACTTTTTTATAAACATATTTCTCTAGAATATAAAACCACCCCAATTCACTCGCAAATACTCTTGCACTTCCTGGAAATCCTCGACTCTCCAGACTCAAAAGAAAGTATAGTTGTAATATCTTTTTTTTACATTTTCTTATCCAACCTTTTAATCCCAAGCCAAGTGACCCTAATGAGTGGCTTCTTATTTATAAAGGTATTGTAACTAACATTTGTTTTTCCACCTGTAAAAGTATATTCTTATTAGGTAAAAATTAATGTATACTATATAGTATATATTATATATAAATGTTTATTTTATTTTATTAGTCATATATAAACAAAATATTATATTATAATGTTATTAAAGTCTGTTAGTTACGATTCATATGCAATTAAATTTATAACTTGGCTTTTACATAAATTTAATCACAAATTAAATGCACAAGTTTATTCCCCAGAACATCAAGTACATATTTAAATTATATATAAACCATTTACATTTTAATATATTTTTAGTTACACAGCCTCAAATATTAAAAGAGTATCAATATCCACAAAAATTGTAAATTAAAAAGGTATTATAAAATATAAATAATATGTTTAAACATATTATGTAACACATTATGTTTATTCATTTATGCATTTTTTGAGCTTTAGATACAGTACTCATTGAAGATTTTATAGATGGACCAATGGAGCGATTGAATATGGTACTAGTTATGGATAGAACCGGTGCAAATAGTTTCAATCTTAAAGTAAAGAACAGTATTAGTAACATTTGACAATAGTCTACTATTTTATATTTATAAAAATTACTCCCACCTAAATATTTTAATTTTAGATGGACTGACTTCATTAGCACTGATAATGAACACAGGAAATAGAATTGAAAACAGACAACCACTGGAAACAAAAAGAATAGGGTTAAGTAAAATATTAAATTATTTTAGAAAATAAAAGTAATGAACTATTATACCTAATAATATATGATTCTGGCAAAGATGTGACAACTGCTAGTGGAAGTCCAAATCCAAGGAAATATGGCCAACAGTTTTCAATAATGGATAACCTTGAATTTAGCTCCATGCCCATATTGCACCATTTATATTCAAATGAGTAAAGTGAATAAAGTAATGATAAATGCAAAATACTAAGAATATTGCTAAGAATTGTTGATGGCACCATACTTACTAAATAACTCTAAAATACACATTATTCAAAATATTATAACTTGAATACAAATATTGACTTACTTGAATGAGAAATAAGAACTGGACAACTATACTAAACGAAAAGTCTGCTATCACTTTACTAATCCGTGTCAACTGTTGTGGATCACCTTTTTTTTGTTTATACGCTATGTCTGCGATATCCTAAACAAACCCTATATTATAGTTGAGTAAACAACCAAGCATAAAATTATTTAGGCTGTTTATATATAAATATATATTACTTGAAACCATAGACTGTTAATTATTTTGCTCAGCAAAAATATTGGTAAGACCCATACAGCTCCAAATGTCCATGACAATAGTGATCGGGTCCATAACCAAATATTTTCATTAAAATTTCCAAATGTAAATGACATTATATAGCCTAAAGAAGGTAGAATAACATATTCAAAAATAACTATACTTAAACAAAATATGCCACCATTTAATGTACAACATTGAATTATTCGTTGTAACATTTTTTGATCTCTGAAAAAAAGATAAGCAACACATTCAAGATCAATATTTTTTATTTATTTATTAAAAGATACGTCATAAGTATGTACAGTAAAACTACGGTAAGATGGAAATCCCGGTAATACAGATAATATTTTTGGCCCCGATTCATATACATAATAAATTTGAACCAGGACAAGTCGGAAACTCCGTTAAGATGGAAAAATTGGACAGTCTCGATTGATTTTATTTTGGCAAGGTTTTACTGTAGGTACTACAAATATTATAAGTTACTAAGTTTTTATTATTTTAAGCTAAAAAGTATATTTATTTTTAAATATTTGTTAAAAAAAAATTAATTTCAAACTACAAAATTCAGTCATGACCAATAATTTATAATTTAATTATATTATTTATTTTTGTCATATAAACAACTTATAAGAATTAATCAATAAGAATCACAATGAAGTGTATGAAGCAATACAATTTAAATATATTATATTGTTATACCTTTAGTCTGTAAAAACTAAATAACTGTATTTATAAACATTCAACTTTAGTATATTCAATAGGTAACAATTCTTAATATTGATGAATTGAATAATACATTGCTATAACACTTATAACACAATTAATTAATATTCTGAAAAATTTATCAGTCGTTGGATAATAAAAAATGTATAAAAATAACCCAACCTATATTTTAGTAATTACTAAGTAGTGTTTTTCATAATTTATAATTTTTTTTTACAAACTTTGGTAAGTTTACTGGTCTGCCAACTTTCTTTGACCGCTTATTTTGCACAAAAAGTACAGTGACACCTTTGAAACTGTCCATAACACCTTTGCACACCGTTCTGGATAATGTCTGTAAAAGAAATATTATGCTGTTAGCGTCAAAGAAGTACCTGGAGAAATAAATTAATATATACGGTGGACCACAAGCTAATAACTCACAAATATATCATCCATTTTCGAAACAGATCGGTAGGTGATGGTCCGAATTTAGAAAACAATAATAATTATAGTGAATAAATGGAGCACCAAAAAAAAAAAAAAAACTTTCGTGTTAGCACGACTTGTGGAACCTTTATATTATTATTGAAATATCGACATTGTTATTATTTAAAAATTATGATCGATCTCATAAATGGCAATTGGCATCAAAATATTCAGTATTTTAATAATTAATTATTCATTAATTCGTTATCACTTATCATCACCAATCATCACAACTACAGTAGTAGTCTGTGATTAAAACCACGGATATAGATACCGGATATCATGGGGTACGACACTCCGTGAATTGGTCGGATCGGGCGATTGTGGCCTTGAAAATGGTCTCTAGAGGGGCGTGGCATACGTTATCATAGAACGATATCATATCAATATTATCATAGAACGATATCATTTCACATTTGTGCCATTTTGTACAATACTTAATTTTACCAAGATTTAATATGTGTATTAAAATTCAAACTGTAAAATAAATTACTTAATGTAAGTAATAACTAATGAAAAATATTTTAATACGTAAATTAATGACAAGTGTAACAATAGGTAATTGGATATGGAATAAAATACTAGGGTTAAAGAACAAACACATTGGAAATTTAGTAAGAATATATTGTATTTATTTAATGAAAATAGAATCAAAAATGCAAAAGGAAAATTAAAAACAATATATTACATTAAAACCGAATCATTAAAGTAAAAGAATACATCAATTGCATTATAAGAATACTGATCGACTCGCTGTAATAAAAGAACACATCAATTTTATTAACTTAAACAATTGTATAGTTAAGTCCTTAAAAGGACTGCTTAGTGAAAAGTGCTTAAAGCAAACATTACAACCATAAGAAAACTAATTAATATCAACAGCTGGTTTTTTTTTAAATTCAATATTTATAAATTCATAAGGATTTGAACTTTTCTGTTCTTTTTACCAGTACGCAATGCTTGATATTCCTTGTTGGTTCTATTCAATGAGTTGTGAATTCGAAATCTTAAGAATAGGTTAATTAAGAAGTCTTTAGGAAAGTTATCACACGGATGATAGAAAAAAATTGTATTTAAAATTAAATCTTTGAGAGTCTTACCCACGTTGGGCTGAGGAGCTAATGAAATGAAATGTCTATCAAAAACCTGATTGATTTGAAAAATATACTGATAAAAAGTAGAATTGGGCATTATTAAATTACCGAATAATAAAGAAGGATTTTCTTCATATGATTTAAAATGGCAATAAAAAGTTTCACTGGATAAGGAAGTAGTTGCTTGTGCAAAATTTAAACAAGTTGTACATTGATGAACCTTTAAACATTGCCCGATTAAGTAACCACAAATGTATGTCAAAGCATTTTGTTTAGGTAAATTAATTTGTTTGTAATTAGTGATGTTTGTAATAGGTAATGGAATTTGAATAGGGTTCTTTTCTGGGAAAAGTATTTTAATTTCACTTATAGGAGTTTTTTCAAGACTGAGTAAGACCTCATCTAAATCTTGAATACAGTTAGCACCTTCAGAGTGTTCAAAGTAATCAAGACAAAAAAGTTTTTTAAAAGTTCTTTTAAACTGAATGCATGTAGGATTTATGCAATTTCCATTTTGAATTCTTACAGTTCCAAAAAAATTTTCTAATTTGTCTTGATTTGTCCTATAAGTACATATTGGATCAATTTCGGAATCACTGTTATTAGTTAAATTTTGATAAAGACGATTTAATCCAGCTATTGATATTAACCAGCCATTAATACATTTTATATTATATTGTCTACCTATATTAACCCACTCATTTTTTTCAGCATCAAATTTTTGAATTTCTAAATTTTCAAAATAATTAAACATTAAATTTAAAAAATCAGTCTGATAAGAAGAGTTTGAAAATGGTAATGAATAACGTTTTGATCCCTCATGATTAGAAACTTCAGTAGAAATGGGACGAGAATTGAATATATCAAACAGCTTATCCATGGAATCTATGAAATCAATCGTATCGAAGGCACTATGCGGTAATTCATTACAAGAAACTAGGGTAGTCATCCCTGCAACCACTGTATGACTAAAAACTTGAGCGGCAAATTTGACTCTCATTTTTTGAAAACTATTAGGATTTAAATGAACATCAGTTAATTTAGGTGCCAATCGATGTTGATTACTTTTATCAAGGTCATAAAAATTTGTAAGATGAATTTTTTCTGCAATTTTATTTTGAGAATTGAAACGATAATTGAAAAAGTTATTCCTAGTTGCCTTTAATAAATGAGGTGGATCAAACATGTAAACAATTTCTTTGTCTCCAACATTAAAGTAAGGGGTCTGGGGGGTAATGCCTTGTTGATCTGCAAAGTGCTTAAAATTTGAGCCTAAATCAGAAATCATGACTACTACATTAAAAGAAATATTGGACAATTTCTGAACAGTTTGAAAGATTATATTTTGCAGATCATATCCAGTAGAAGTAGTAGCAACAAAAAAATAGCCTATAGGTTGTTTCCAAGAACTATGCAAACCACTGATCATAATGACCATAACTGATTTAGTAACATCGCAAGACTTAATGAATCCTGTATTATGAAAACCTATTATTTCATCTTTTTTGAAATCAAAGAAAAGAAAAGATTTAAGCGACATTTCATCTACACACAAGATACATTCTTTGGACTTCACTGTCATGGAGTTTGCTTTCACTGCTAAAACTTTAAATAAAAAGTCATTCAAACCAGGATTAATTTCCCAATTTTCTGTAGTTCTTTGTAAAGTTCTAACAGAAGGCAAACTCCAGGATTTCCGTAGAAATCTATATACTTTAGGACCCATAAAATGTACCATGAGTGCAAATTGTTTTATTTTATAAGAATACCTATGTCCATAAAAAAAAAAAAAAAAATACAACGTTAATATAATTTGACTTGCTTATTATGTTATTATAGGTATAAATATAAGTAAATATTTACTTTTAGGAGTTGAACAAGATATGGCTGATTTGTTTGACCAATTAATAGACGATATAGAATTACTATAAATGTCAACAGAATCAGCCATTATTCTTGAAGTACTACTAGTACTAGGGATGGGTTCCTCGGGAATCATTATTAAACTGCTGTTTTGTTGCAACTCTGCATCAGACCAGTTGAATATAGAAGGCACTGCACTATTAATCAACCAACCATTATTGTTGAAATCTGTTTCAACGAAGTGCTCAGAACATAATTTATATGCTTTATTACAAATGGATGGACCCTTTTCCAAAAGATCCGGACGACGGCAGAAATTAACCCACTTATTAAATCTAAAGCATTATAAAATTATATATTACACAACATTGTTAGATTAATACATTATTAATATTATTAACCAATTATATTAATATTTACCTTTCGTAATCCTTCGGAAATCTATGGAAAGTAATATTAATTGACAAGGGTCCATACTTATTAGTACATAATATGCACTTAATAACCATTTTGCAAATTTTCGGAATAGCAAATTCAGCAAATTACAATAAAAAATTATGTACACTGACGGACACTGGTATTCGCACACTTGTAAAAGTAAAAATAAACTTAGTAAACAGTGGAAACAATTTTTCTATGCTGGAAACAACCCGACCCCGCGCAGAATACCCTGCCCATTAAGCGGATACGGTTTTTCAATACGGGTATAACATCATGTTGGTACACGGAAACAGTTTGAATGTTCGGACTTCAGATCATAGGTAAACACTTCACCCATCAGCTGATCGAGTGTCGCTTCTATATTGTTCTATGATAGTATAAGACTAGTCTAAGGCCGTGGTCATGAACATTAGAGTAAGGACACCGATCTATACAGATAAAAGAGGGACTAGATATGTAGCATCCGTTAGAGCGCGCTGCAGAACGCCAGTCATACTACTGTAACATTAGAAGCATAGGAACTTTTGTGGTCTTTAGTCATTTTATCCTAAATTATAAAACTTATGACCAAATATTATACAACACAATTTAAAGAGCAGATCAGTTTCAATAAAAATAATAAAAATTTAAATATAAATGTTGTATATTATTGATTATTTGAACTAATTAATTAAAAAAGCATATGAGCTTATTAACAACATTAAACATAATAATATTATTATTTATTACATACATAGGCGTATAAAAAACAAAATCTTGTAAGTAGGTAATAAAATAATGTAAATATGGCTTAGCATTAGGTGCTTAAGCCTTAAACTAACTTTGCAGACTTTCTATGAAGTTTTGATTTTTCTTTCTTTGCATTGTCTATAGAATTGGATCGAGAACAAACAAAATGTACCCTTGTTATAAGAAAGAAGTTAACTATAGAAGATGTTAAGCCATCTGCATGGAGATCACATCCAATAAGTTGTAGTGACTCTATCTGTTCAAGTTTAGAACAAATGCTAAATAGTACTTCACTGCTAAGTCCTTCTTCATTTAAAACATAAAGCGTCGAAGCCTCCATAGTACCTACTTATTAATTTAAATAATTTTTCCGATGGTTTTATTAGATGTCCATGAGATAATTTATCAATGAAAACATCTCTTGAATATCTATACAGGGTAAAGCTAATATTTTTTTTGTACGAAGATGTTCATAAACTTTTCTACTTTTTATTTTAACCAAAAGGCATTCATAAATCCAGTTAATAGAATAATGATTTCCTTTAGGATCTTTTAATTTAGCAGCAGCAAAACAAGCACGTACTGCTTCTTGCTGACTTTCAGGCAACCTGGTTAATTCATTTTCAATTACTGCAGCAGATGCAGTAGCACACTTCTGTTTTAACAAACCTACCTTTTCTTTTAACTTTAACACCTAGAAAAATATAGCTGGAGAATTTTTTTATTTTAATAAATTAAATTAAGTTTTTATTTATTAAATAATCTAATATAAAGAAAAAGGAAAATTAAACATATAATTAGAGAACATGTGGATAATAATATTATAACTTATAACTTAATATATATATTAATAACTTATAACTATATATACATTAATAACTTATAACTATATATACATTAGATACTAACTTATATATATATTAGAGTTCTAATGTTCATGCTTATAACAATTAGAACAATAAATACAATAATTAGTGTTGAAGTACACAGACATACAGAAGCTTAAAGTAAATAATAAAAATATCATATATATTAATATAATAATTATGAGTATAATGATTCAGTATAAAATAGGGTGTTACAAGGCATAATATATTATGACAAAAAAATACAGTATATATATATATATCATATTTTTACTCAAATACTTTACAACACTCCAAAGTTACATACTTTATTATTAAGTCTGCTATTCTTTCGAGTAATGTTTTTGACTCTACCTATGCTTTTCTGTTTCTTTAATTTTTTTTTTATTTCTCTCTGTCTTAAAGTATATATTCTCTGAAGATCTATCATATTTTTTCTTTCTTTAGAGCATACAGTGCAACGAGAATCTGTAAATGATGTGCCTGGTTTCTTTGCATCAACATAACCATAGCATGCAACTGATTGTGGGCTATAAAAATATAAGTAAAAAATTATACAAACACAAATTAACAAACTATTATTATACTATACCTTTTATCAAGACCAGTGCCACTGCAAGCTTGTAAATTATTTACTATAGCTATAATTTTTTCAATATCTTCAAAGTCTGTAGCAGTTTGCATTATTCCTTCAACATTCACTATGACTTTGCTTACAAACACCTAAAATATAGTAATTGCTAAATACTCTCTTTATAATACCTATGATTGAATTGTAAATATAACATTACACCTACTTGTATGTTAAGATTATCTTTATAAATGATAATTTTTTTGAACACTGTATCCTTGTCATTATTAAACCATCCAATAACCAAATCATCTTTTACCATGGAAATAAATGTGGCATCAGGTAATATGGTACTTTTCAATTGATTCACAATATTGTAAAATATATCATATTCGATAATTGTAGTATTAAATGAACTATTGAGGTTAGGAGTTTCAGCATTATTAGATTTTGTGTTCAAATGTCGAACTTGGGGTTTTCGTATTTTTTTTATAGAAGATAAGTATTGCGGTAGATCTGGAAACAATGACGGTACTGCATTTTCTTTTAAACAAATTCTATCCCTTTCAATTTTTTGGATTGAACCATCTGCCATTACATTTTCAAAATATTTTATCAGACTGGTTTCAGCAAAATGCTTTTCACACACACGGTCTATCCCTGATCTCAAATCTCGATCTGATCGTGGAATTGCTTTAACCCATTGTGCTAAGACTTTAGGATCCTGTAAAAAGTAGAATATTTATTGTATAGGTAAGATTATAATATAGGTAGGTAGGTACTTTTGCTTGTTGGCAATCAATTAGTTATATAATATTGCATAATAATATATTATAGTAGTATAGTACAAGTATGAGGTACATAGACGGAGATTGAGGGGGGGGGGCAAAATAAATAATTTTAACTTTGAGCCCTTCTAAAAAACATGCTACCAAAACCAAACATTAAAGTCCCCCTTAATATGTCATAGGATATCCGACTATGATGAGGTACTTGGTATACATGTATATTGTGTATGGCACATCTTAGTAACTTACAACATTATTCTTAACTCATAAGTGTATCACGTCACAATTTAGATTAAAATTATGGTTATCCTAAATTCTAATACTATATTAAAGTAGTATGATAATATATTTAAACATAGTTTACCTTAGGTGCTTTAAACAATGTTTTGTTTCGAATTCCCAATACCTTGTTAGTAGACCTGGTAGAGGGGTATCCTTCTTTACACAACGGGGCAAAACAATTTCGTGACATGTTTAAGTCTTAAGGAGACAAATTAAAAAACTTCTTACCATATACAAGAATACTATAATTTAAGAAATGCTTTAAAAATGCTTCTTACTAGTTATTTTAATAAAAAACCACGAAATGTCCTATGGCAGTTGTATAAAACGAGTATGACTACTACTCCGTAGCGCGCTCTAGCGGAAGCTACAAATTCGGGACCATTTTTTTTCTGTCCAGCCGGCCGTGATCGGTGTCCTTACTCTAATGTTCATGGCCGTGGTATAAGAAATAAGAAGTATGATCAACTCGAACCGTGTTTTTGTCCTAGTTCGCGCATGTGCATTGCCCGTGTTTTTGTGCATACTGCATTGCATAAGATTAGATGTTTACTCGTGACGTGGTCTTGTGTTTATTGTTGGTTACCTATAAAAATTAAATATTGCCCCTTAAAAAAATATGCGCAGTCTTATCATTGAGCATACTTCTTATTCCTTATACTATGCCGGATATATAGTATCCGTGATTAAAACCTTAGATCATAACATAGATATAGATATATATTAATTATTTATGAATATATTATTTATTATCTGTGATCAAATATCAATATTTAATACACTTTGTTTTTTACCTTATACATAAATATATTTGTATGATCTAACAATCTAAGTTTTTTGCCATTTGCCGTCTGGTCTTATCACAATGTAGTTGATGGGTCTTATAATCACGAATATAGATAATAATTACATACATCAAATATCAATCCGGCGCTGCCAACCCTACGGATGGTTGGCTAACCCACAAAATATCATCGATTATTGTTTGGTCAATCGCGTTTTTATTCGTTTTCATGCGTTTGTATTTTAATTTTAATAATAATTTACCATAATAAAATATAGGTATTAATATATAACAATAATATCGTTCGGTTTTTTCACCGTCCAGGTCGCACTCGCCTGTAAATCGCTAACGCTCAGGGTAGCGAATCGAAACGTGTTCGTTGTTGTCTTACCAAGTAGGATTGTAAGGGTACGTACAACGAATAATAATAATAGTAAAAAAAAAAACCGGGAACTGTCGATAAATCTGTTGACGGCGGCCGCTCACGATGACCACTCACGCGGATATCGAGGCGCAAATACGCGAAATTCAGCAGCGCAAAAAAGATGAGAAACAGAAAGAGGACGACAGCGACGTGGGACTCGGGGCTTCCGGATTTTTTGATCAAGACATCTACAACGGTGGCGGAAAGTTCGAGGGTTATGTTACGTCTATTGCCCCCAACGATGAGTACGATGTGAGTACGCACACTGCCCGACACACGGGATTTAGCTAAATTAAACCTCATGTGATTCCCATGTCCGAGGTAACCTGTGGGTGTAACGTTTTGACTGACCACCGTCGTCCACAATCTTGTCTAACGTTTCTTTGCGACCAACTGAGGAATTATTATCGTTGTTGGTTTTTATTCTCAACACGTCAGAATATTATACAGTTTCGCTTCGTTTGTAGGTACTGTGTAAATTACTTGTCGATAAAGTCAAATAGTAACAGATATTACACATAATAGGTAGGTTAGGATGAAATTAAGTTGATAGGTGATTACTGATTAGACAATGTGATTGTAATATTAATAGGCTACTCATTTCAAAAATTAGTCAATTAGTTACCTTGTTTATTACCCAATAATAATAATAATAATTGTGCATTGATGTTTAGTCATAGACCATAGTTTTGTTATTAATTCATTTTATAATTCTTCTTATCTCTTGTGATTATTTCATTAAATTAGAACCAACTAATGGTATAACATCACAGTAATAATATATTCTCAATTGAATATAAATTATAATTTATAGGTTTATTCAAATGTTTTGCAAAAGTATTTTAATAAATAAGTACCTATGTACCTACTTATTGAATTAGGTAGTATATGCTAGTTAATTAACAGAGATGTATTTAGGATTTTTTTTTTTTTGGGGGGGGGGCTTGATATTTATTTACTTCTCACCACCTATGTTGTATTAAAACTGATAACTAAATAACTATTTAAATAGAAAATATGTTGTCAAAATTGTTTATAACCCTGTTTGGTATCTACCAAACTCATAGGCGTGTGCAGACTCTTGGTTCCGGGGTTGTACATAATATTAGGGCCCACAAACATTTTGGAAACATTAGTTGCAGGCAAATTTATTTATAATTCTGACGATTCTTACAGTGAATAATTAATCAAAAACTCTTATATAAATAAAACGAAGTAAACGTATAGGTAAACTAAGTTATATAGAAAAAACAATTCCCAACACAACAGGACCATTTTTAATAGAAAAGCAAAGTTTTTGTTGTTTCAGATGATTTGCAACTTTCATTAATGCTAATTTATCTTTAGCTTTGCTCTTTTAATATTTGGTTTTTATATATTTTGTAGAACTTAATTTAAATAAAGCTTCAAAAACTAAATACTTTAGGTACCTTATAAAATTATTCACATACAAAATACCACAAACGAAAATATATCTTAAACTAACCAATACATTTGGCTTTTTATTTAATATAACTTTTCAATTAGGTACCTTCTACCCACTTCATCAAGCATACCTAATTATGATATCCCACTATCCCAGTGACATGCCAACCCATTTAGTCTATTTTTAGTTAGGTAGGTACTTATAGTTAGGTTATATCTATTATTATAGTATCTATAATAATTGTATCTAATATTATGCGTAGTGTATACATTTAGAATATCTCATGTTTATTTATCAGAATCAACATTGGCATTTGTGTATTAATTATTACTTTTATTAGCCATTTGTCATCAAAACATTTGAATACCAATAATTACTACAGCGTACCTACAGATGCATGTATTTTCAGCATTGTAAAAATACCCATTTATGATCATATATTTTCTTGAAACGCACAAAATTATTTTTACAAAAAGGTCAAGGATACCGAGCATAGGCATAAATATAGACAACTACTTATTAGTTATTAATTTATTATGTCTATTGCTACTGGTACAGAACATATTACCTGATAATAATATTGTTCTTATATACATAAACTTTATAAGTATAGTCAATGTTTTTGTGACTAATCTTAAAATTAGAAATTATTTCATTGATATTTCATAGTTTTATTTGTAATTTTATGTAAGTAGGTAACCTGTTGATTCATTTCCATTTTCTAATTTGTTCTACACTTTTATTGTTTTTATTTTATAACTAGTTTTTACATTATGTCAATACGTCATGTTTTATTTAGGACTTAGGTTATTAGGTACCTATCACCTTCCTATTAAAAATGTATGAACTTTTTATTTGGCTATATACTAGTGTCTAGTTGCAGCATGAATTTTTGCATGTTACATCCAAGTTGCCTTCAGGTTTTTTGAAGCACTATTTCCTAGTTGCGACTTGATTAATATTTATAATTTTAAGATTTGTCTAATCATACCTATAATATTACCGTTGCCTTTTTAATAACAACAACAGTTGACAATCATAACATGGGTATATATTACTATTTAGTATTTAATATTTTACCTATCATTTTAAGATATGTCTATCATATTATAATATTATTGGTTAGGTACCTATTTAAAAAAAAAATATTAAAATAGTTTTTACTAGGTAATGCCTACCATAGTATTAATTTTTTTTACCCCCCCCCCCCCCCCAAAAAAAAAAAAAACCTAACCATAATTTGGAAGAAATATTTACTGCAGGACGCAACTATTAACCACCCCTTGATGTTATACATTTTCAAAATCAGCTTTTAATGCATAGGTAGCTAGATATACAAGGTGATTCATTAAGCGTAAAACACTCATTATCTCAAAAAGTATTAATGTTTTTGAAAATATTTTTTTACATAGTTTCAAGTTGCTAAAAAACAACGTTTTCATTAAAAAACTATATTTTTAAATATTTTTTATCCTTATAATTTTTTAAGTTTTTTACTTTTTTGAATGACAGCATAGAGTTTTAATTTCATATTCCAAAGCAGAATATTTTTCTAAGTATTTCGATACATAAAAATCGAACTTAGGACGAGTAGTTTATGAGTTATAAGTACTTTAAGTTTAGATGGGCGGAGTGGAGTGGTATGGGTTTACCCCGCAAAATGTTTATCCACTACTCCGCCCATCAAAACTTAAAATACTTATAACTCATAAACTACTCGTCCTAAGTTCGATTTTTATGTATCAAAATACTTAGAAAAATATTCTGCTTTGTTATATGAAATTAAAACTCTATGTTGTCATTCAAAAAAGTAAAAAACTTAAAAAATTATAAGGATAAAAATATTTAAAAATATAATTGTTAAATGAAAACGTTGTTTTTTAACAACTTAAAACTATTTAAAAAAATATTTTCAAAAACATTAATACTTTTTGAGATAATGAGTGTTTTACGCTTAATCAATCACCTTGTATAGTAGGTACATCAGTGTTATATGTCAGGGGTCTCCAAACTTTTTTATTCAAGGGCCACAAAAAAAACCAAATGCTCTTAGCGGTCCAAAAGTTTAGTTTATTAACACATATAATTTTTAACTTTATGATAATATAGGTACCTATATAAATAATATGTTTACTTTATATTTTTGTATAGAATATTGTTTACTTTACAATATACTTAAATAAAAATAAATAGGTACCTATAAATATAATATAATATAAACACATTTTTGAAATAATTTTAGATTCTGAGTGAAACGATGAATGTATTGATTTTACAATGATGTGTGTTTTTATATTTATTTTTATATTTATTTTTTTATTTTTATTTTTTTTGTGTACACGATAAGTAGTCGAAATAATGCTTCGATTTTCGACTTCAGTATCTTGTTCGATTGGAAAGTGAATATCGTTGGTGCATTGGGGAGGTCAAAATTTAAAATTCCCAGTACTTTTCAAAAGCGCCAAGAAAAACAAAAGAAAAATTAAGGAAAAACGGGAATTTTTACGCAAAATCGATTTTTCAGAAAATTGAATTTGGTTTTTGGTGTAACTTTAA